AGACAGAGGCCACCTACCGACCTAGCAGCGAGGAGCAGGCGGGTGCCCGCGTCGGGCCCAGCCCCCACCTCAAACTGCCCCCTGAGGAGCGACTCATCTGAGATCCTCCCAGACTTCTGCCCCCTCTTGGACTCCTGCCCCCCATCTACGGGGAACCATGCTGGGGCAGGGGGCAGTTGCAGCTGCCTTGCTACCCTGCGGTGCTTCCTGGTGGCTGAAGCAATAGTGGGGGGCCCCAGACAGCACCCCCTCTGGACTGGTCTTTATTCCTGCATCTGTCTGTCTGTCCTGCAGAAGGGGCTGGTGCTGGATCTGCCCCCATGAGTGTTCCCTGGTGGCTGAGCCCAAGAAGCGGGGTCCCTGACAGCCCCTCACCCCACACTGGTCTCTCCAGTGTCCCTTTGTCTGTCCAGGCTCGGGGTGGGGGTTGGACTTGTGCTCCCTGGTGGCCAAAGCAATAGGTGGGGTCCTGCCCCTTGCCCACTGGACTGGTCTTTACCCCTGCTCCCCTGGGGGCAGCCCCCTGTGTCTGTCTTGTGGGGGTAGGGGGTCGGGCTGATGCTGCTCTAATCTGTCCCCCCACTCCCCTCCCCTTTAATGGCTTTGAATGGATGTTTAATAAAATCCTGGGTTTGTTATTGAATTGTCACAGGGGGACTGGGGTGGGGGGATGCTGCTCTTCCAGCCTCAGCTGGCCCCACCTCCATACCCTGTCATACCTGTTTGCCTATGTGGGAAACGGTGCTTATGTCCCCTTCCAGGCCCGCTCTGAGGGTGCAGGGATGACCCCCCCACCCAAGGCTGGTGTGAGGGGGATAATAGCTTCCTGCTGCTGTGTATTGGGGTGGGAGACAAGGCTCAGCTACCCCTGCTCTGGGGGGAACCTCAGCCATTGGGGGGGGGGCAGCACTCAAGGCTGGTGGTGCCTTCCCCCCAACCCAGTGGAATTCAGCTCCAGGCGGTAATGGAAACCCCCGGGACAGGGGCCAACTCTCCTCCCTGCCCTCGGCCGACCCTAGAGGTGGCTGCATCTCAGCACTGAGGTTCCCCCCAGAGCTGGGACCTCACAACCCCTCCCCGCCCCCCTTGTGTCTAAATCCCAGCAGCAGCCTAAACTCCAACACACACCAGTGCACACCCATCCCGGACTCCGGGAGTAGAGCGCGGAGCCTGGGAGGAAGAGAGCCGGAGTCACGGAGGAGTCCTCGGCGGCGCCCCGTGCCTCAGTTTCCCCCCACTTTGGCGGAGCAGCGAGCAGCGCTCCGGGCAGGGCGGTGGGCAGAAGCTTAGGAGCTCGCTCGCCCACCCTTCTCCTCCCCGCCGCCTCCCGTCCTGGGGTGGCAATAGGGGTCCCCTCGCTCCCACAAGCGGATGCGGCACTTCAGCCTGGTCCGAGCCCGGGTCCGAGCCGAACGTTGGCGCTGCCGCTTCC